GCCTATTCCAGGACTAGTGTCTAATTTTAGACAATCTTCCACTTCACCCCTCCTGATGAGGACCAGTACTCATGTCAGTGCTCCCTGTAATGAAGCAAAGTAGTGATAGGAGAAAAAAAAAATGCCCTGAAGCGCACAATGCTCGCAGTCCTTCCCAAAGCACGGGCTGCTGCCTGGCTAACGGCCGGCGAGCTTTGATGAGGAAAGCACAAAGCTGGCAAACACAATCGACAGACTTTCCATTTACAAAACCTCCTCCCATTTTCAAACTGTGTCCCAGAGAGTTGGACCGAAAATTCCCCCCTGGAGAAATACCCCGCTATGTTCTGCTGGGATACAGACGGTCAAACGCCGCAGGACGTACACAAACCGCACACATCTCCTCCCTCCACTGCTCGTCTACAGAACAGGACAAGGGACCTTCCCCATCTCACAGGAAGCTCAAGGATAATCACAATAAATCACCTGAGGTCCTCACATCTTGAAGTATTAGGGCTTGCAACACCTAAACAACAAGAAATACTTTAAAACCTCTTCTAGTCCTGTAGATTACATAAATAAATTGTTCTAGCTCAGAGGGATGCTGTTTAACTAAATTTGAAAAGTACAGCAAAGGAAGGATGTCTCAATTACACAGACAAAAGGTACCGAGACTGTGCTACCACACAGCGTGATCCACACGAGGGAAGAGCTTCCCTGCCTGTGCCACCCAACAGTTGGAAGAGCAGTGAATTACCCACAGAAAAAACAGTTTTATGCGCTTTTGGACTGCGTACAGAAAACAAAGAGACTTCCTGGTAATGTGAAACCCCCCCCAAACAGAAATATTACAGCTTTGTACAAAGAATGAGAGGCAGCAGAGGTTTCAGGTTGCCAGGAGGGCTACCCAGCGCAGCGCGCATCTCCGGGGGTTTACAGGCCACCACTGACCCCAGCGCCCTCCCCACCGCCGGGACCAGAAACCCAGCTCGACAGCACTGCCGGTCTGGCCACCTGGGATCGCAGCTGCCGTGGGAGAGCAGCGAGGAGGGGAGCAGGGGCGGAATGGCCCCCTGATGCCGAGCTGCGCCAGCCCCGCGGCCGGCCTTGCGGCTCAGCAGCATCGCAGCGCAGACCGATCGCAGCCCACCGGGCACGCTGCCGGCCCGCCCAGCGGAGACGCGGCAGACAGCAAGGCCCAGTGACTCCATTCCTTCGTCTTCCGTGGAAGACACAGCGGGCAGTGTGAACAGCAGACACCCACAGCATCTCTGTGAGGACAGACTGAAAGCTCGTCCAGGCAGATCGAAAAGATGCGCTCTCTTTCGCAAACCCTGCTTCTGTGGTGTAATGCACGTGACACGATCCCCCAAAGTGCTGGCTGTTCCTTCAGCTCACGTGGTTGATAAAAAACATTAACAAACTCTTAAACAATGGTATCCATGAGCCAACACAGCGTGAGCGCGTCGGGGAGCGGCTCCCTCCCCCTGACCGCTCTCGGGCTGCGACCAAGCCCACACACCACGAAGCGTGTGCCCAGCTGCAACCGTCGGTCCCTGGAGGGGCAAGACGCCCGCTCCTCCATGCATGGACTGTCCGGTGAAACCGTCCTGCTGCTGACACCTAGAGACAACCCCAGGCTGTTCCAGCTTCTGCTGCAGACCCAGATGAACGGGATCTACGGAAACCCAGCCCGGACCCCTCAACTCCATGGAAATAAGGTCATCGTTCTGGAGAGACAGCAGTGCCAAGCTGCTGCTCCCCACACAAACACGGCAAGCAAGGCTGGGGGAACATCTGGCTTCACACAAAACACACATCAGCCCCTGCTCTCTGGGGCTTCTGCAGGTATTCATCCATCACTGACAAGTAACGGCCCCTCGAGAAGACGCCAACACCAGTGCACAGACGAAAGGCGTAAGAGCACAGAAAAAACACGCTTCTGGGTAACGGGCGTGCCGTGTAATCTGGAGATACTTACAGAAACGTTGCTTATAGAAAAAAACCTGAACTGCAGTCAGCAGCTGCCTCACAGCAAAACGAGCGACCTGAAAAACAAAGTCACTGTCAAAACATGGAGAAACTGGGACAAAAAACAGACTGACTGGGAAAGGTAGCTTTTAACTTCTGTAGAATAGGAAGTGATTTCAAGACCAGGTGGGATAACAAAAGTGGTTTTAAAAAAGCAACACCAGCATTCATATTTGAATACTTTAAGCTGAGCAATGTGAAAATGTCAAAAGACAAAGGAGGATGGAAGCAAGTAACATTAGCATTTCATCTGCAAACTGGATGAGAATGCTGCAGACTGTGGGGGAGAGTTCAGGTTTAGAAAGGTAAAAAAGTCCTACAAATATGAAAATGGGGGAGTAAAGAATTACAGTATACAATCTTGTAATTCTATGTGATGGCAAGATTAAATGGTCTGAAGTGTAACTAAAATTGAAGCAGGGTCTAGGACAAAACATTATTACAGAAAATCAATGGAATTGATTTTGGAAAAGCAATAAACACAGTCAATGGAATCATATTAATTAACATACCAGAAATTTGGGATATTTAAGACTACCAGTCTAGACATAGCATTGCGTTTTTATGAAGTTCTCTATGAATTAAAGTGTTTGACCTTCTACTCCCATCCAATTCTCTCCTGCCCCCAAGAGAGCCGTTAGAAATTCACGGCTGAATTGTCCACAACGCGAGCTGCAGAACCCAAAACGCTCCTGAAAACTCACCGGTCAAACCTCGCTGCCGAGTAGAACGTGTCGTATCCTCTACCACCAGAGCAAGGACTTTGTGAACATGTATATTGAAATAAAAATCCCTCACAGGGCCTTGCCAAACTCCACAGCTGTACTGCCAGCGCTATACCGAGACAAGCGAATTGTAGTGTTTTTCCTGTGCGCTCAGTTTGCTCGCGCTGTGCTGAGAGAAAAGGTTATTGACAACAGCTTAACAGGTGAGTATCCCCCTGCAAGCTACCTGCAGAATCGGTGCAAGCCTTAAGAAGTGAAACACATTCGTATATGGGAGGTAAGCTTAATTAGCCCACTTCACAAAAAACACAATATTTGAGTATTAGAACCTGATGTGCTCAAGAAAGTATGTGAGCTTTCATACTTACCAGAACAATTCTGTATTTAATTAGGGTTCATTAGTAAAGGTAATCACTGTAATTTATTTGCACAAATACAGGACATCATGCTCCATCAGCAGGTAATGTTCTTCATTAAAAGGAGTAAGAACTTTGTGCACCAGGGCACATGTCGTCTAGGAATCCAAAGAAATCAGAACTACTAAGTACAGAGTAAAACATTTTGCTAAATAAAATCAACTCACCGCTTTTATTTAGGATGATAATTTGTAATAACGTATCGAAGCAGAAAATTATCTGGGCTCTTGAATTCGCTGCTGTAGGAAATTGAAGTTTTTTAATGCGTGTGAGTTTTAAAGCTCACTGTCATGGCCAGTTACAGTACACAACGCAAGTC